TCTTGATTTGCAGTTTCAAATGATAGGTCAGTCAGGAGTTTCTCTCCAATATTCACAATACCCTCAGAAGATGGTATCAGCAGCAGAAATTTGGGATGTAGATTTCTCTCTACAATGGGGGCCCCCTTGTACTGGTTTATAGACATAAGGAAAACATTGTATACGAAATAAGCTCAAACGTTCATGTCAGTGGTTAACACTTCAGTCAAGTAATTAATATGCTATATTTTAACTATTGGTAGTAGGTTGGTAGACAGCAACCACCCAGGGGGGTATTACCGTCCTGCCAAGTGAGTGTGAAATGAAAGCCTGTAATTGTTTTACATGATGGTAGGTTTGCTGATGTCTTTTGTCTGTCTCATAAATATGCAAGATTACAGGTACATCTTGCTACTTCTACTTACACTTAGGTCACACTACACATACATGTACATGTTTATTTATACACACTCATCTGAGTTTTCTTTGATTTTATCTTAATAGTTCTTGGTCTTATTACTTTTCCTTTTATATCCATGGGGAAGTGGAATAAGAATCTTTCCTCCGTAAGCCATGCATGTTGTAAAAGTCAACCAAAATGCCGGGAACAATGGGCTAGTAACCCCTTTTCCTGCAATAATTACTAAAAAGAATAATAAGAAGAAAATTGTCAAAGTTGGAAGTCTGAATGTGCGTGGATGTTGTGCAAATGATAAAAAAGAGATGATTGTGGATGTTATGAATGAGAAGAAGCTGGATGTCCTGGTTTTAAGTGAAACAAAGCTGAAGGGGGTGGGAGAGTTTCAGTGGAGAGGAATAAATGGGATTAGGTCAGGGGTTTCAAATAGAGTTAGAGCTAAAGGAGTAGCAATAATGTTGAAGGATAAGTTATTGCAGGAAAAGAGGGACTACAAATGTATTAATTCAAGGATTATGTGGAGTAAAATAAAGGTTGAATGTGAAAAGTGGGTTATAGTAAGCGTATGCGCACCTGGAGAAGAGAGAAGTGTAGAGGAGAGAGAGAGATTTTGGGAAATGTTGAGTGAATGCATGGGGAGTTTTGAACCAAGTGTGAGAGTAATGGTGGTTGGGAATTTCAATGCTAAAGTGGGCAAAAATGTTATGGAGGGAGTAGTAGGTAATTTTGGGGTGCCAGGGGTAAATGAAAATGGGGAGCCTTTAATTGAGCTATGTGTAGAAAGAGGTTTAGTAATAAGTAATACATATTTTATGAAGAAGAGGATAAATAAATATACAAGGTATGATATAGCATGTAATGAAAGTAGTTTGTTAGATTATGTATTGGTGGATAAAAGGTTGATGGGTAGGCTCCAGGATGTACATGTTTATAGAGGGGCAACTGATATATCGGATCATTATTTAGTTGTAGCTACAGTTAGAGTAAGAGGTAGGTGGGAAAAGAGGAAAATGGCAACAACAAGTAAGAGGGAGGTGAAAGTGTATAAACTAAGGGACGAGGAAGTTCGGGTGAGATACAAGCAATTATTGGCAGAAAGGTGGGCTGGTGCAAGTATGAGTAGTGAGAGAGTTGAAGAGGGTTGGAATAGTTTTAAAACTGCAGTATTAGAATGTGGGGCAGAAGTTTGTGGTTATAGGAGAGTGGGTGCAGGAGGAATGAGGAGTGATTGGTGGAATGATGAAGTAAATGGTGTGATAAAAGAGAAAATATTAGCTTATGAGTAGAGTATATGGAGAGTATAAGAAAGGTGAAGAGAGTGGTGAGAGAGTGCGAAAGGAGAGCGGATGATAGAGTGGGAGAGGCACTGTCAAGGAATTTTAATGAAAATAAGAAAAAAATTTAGAGTGAGTTAAACAAGTTAAGAAAGCCTAGAGAACGAATGGATTTGTCAGTTAAAAACAGACTAGGGGAGTTAATAGATGGGGAGATGGAGGTTTTGGGTAGATGGCCAGAATATTTTGAGTAACTTTTAAATGTAGACGAAGAAAGGGAAGCAGTAATTTCATGCACTGGCCAGGGAGGTATACCATCTTTTAGGAGTGAAGAAGAACAGGATGTGAGTGTGGGAGAGGTGCGTGAGGCATTACGTAGAATGAAAGGGGTAAAGCAGCTGGAACTGATGGGTTCATGATAGAAATGTTAAAAGCAGGGGAGGATATAGCGTTGGAGTGGTTGGTATTTTTGTTTAATAAATGTATGAAAGAGGGGAAGGTACCTAGGGATTGGCAGAGAGCATGTATAGTCCCTTTATATAAAGAAAAGGGGGACAAAAGAGATTGTAAAAATTATAGAGGAATAAGTTTACTGAGTATACCAGGAAAAGTGTACTGTAGGGTTATTATTGAAAGAATTAGAGGTAAGACAGAATGTAGGAGGATTGCGGATGAGCAAGGAGGTTTTAGAGTGGGTAGGGGATGTGTAGATCAAGTGTTTACATTGAAACATACATGTGAACAGTATTTAGATAAAGGTAAGGAAGTTTTTATTGCATTTATGGATTTAGAAAAGGCATATGATAGAGTGGATAGGGGAGCAATGTGGCAGATGTTGCAAGTACACGTACATGTATATGGAATAGGTGGTAAGTTACTAAATGCTGTAAAGAGTTTTTATGAGGATAGTGAGGCTCAGGTTAGGGTGTGTAGAAGAGAATGAGACTACTTCCCGGTAAAAGTAAGTCTTAGACAGGGATGTGTAATGTCACCATGGTTGTTTAATATATTTATAGATGGGGTTGTAAAAGAAATAAATACTAGGGTGTTCAGGAGAGGGGTGGGATTAAATTATGGGGAATCAAGTAAAAAATGGGAATTGACACAGTTGCTTTTTGCTGATGATATTGTGCTCATGGGAGATTCTAAAGAAAAATTGCAAAGGTTAGTGGATGAGTTTGGGAGTGTGTGTAAAGGTAGAAAGTTGAAAGTGAACATAAAAAAGAGTAAGGTGATGAGGGTATCAAATGACTTAGATAAAGAAAAATTGGATATCAAATTGGGGAGGAGGAGTATGGAAGAAGTGAATGTTTTCAGATACTTGGGAGTTGATGTGTCTGCAGATGGATTTATGAAGGATGAGGTTAATCATAGAATTGATGTGGGAAAGAAGGTGAGTGGTGCGTTGAGATATATGTGGAGACAAAAAACGTTATCTATGGAGGCAAAGAAGGGAATGTATGAAAGTATAGTAGTACCAACACTCGTATATGAGTGCGAAGCTTGGGTTGTTAATGCAGCAGCGAGGAGGTGGTTGGAGGCAGTGGAGATGTCCTGTCTAAGGGCAATGTGTGGTGTAAATATTATGCAGAAAATTCGGAGTGTGGAAATTAGGAGAAGGTGTGGAGTTAATAAAAGTATTAGTCAGAGGGCTGAAGAGGGGTTGTTGAGATGGTTTGGTCATTTAGAGAGAATGGATCAAAGTAGAATGACATGGAGAGCGTATAAATTTGTAGGGGAAGGAAGGCGGGGTAGGGGTCGTCCTCGAAAAGGTTGGAGGGAGGGGGTAAAGGAGGTTTTGTGGGTGGGGGGCTTGGACTTTCAGCAAGTGTGCTTGAGCGTGTTAGATAGGAGTGAATGGAGACAAATGGTATTTGGGACCTGACGATCTGTTGGAGTGTGAGCAGGGTAATATTTAGTGAAGGGATTCAGGGAAACCGGTTATTTTTATATAGCCGAACTTGAGTCCTGGAAATGGGAAGTACAATGCCTGCACTCTAAAGGAGGAGTTTGGGATATTAGCAGTTTGGAGGGATATGTTGTGTATCTTTATACGTATATACTTCTAAACTGTTGTGTTCTGAGCACCTCTGCAAAAACAGTGATTATGTGTGAGTGAGGTGAAAGTGTTGAATGATTTATTTATTTATTTATTTATTTATTTATTTATTTATTTATTTAGAAATTAGCATACAAACAGAGGTACAAAAAAATACAGGTAAGAGCAGCATGCCAAAGCCACTTATATGCATAGCATTACGGGCTGGCTTAAAATTAACTTAAGATTAACTAGATCAGTGATAAGACATTATTGTAAATAGATAACTATAAAATACAAATGAGTATTACAAAGACAGGTCCAATGGTTGCATGCATTGCTGTTCATTCAGTAGAATGGAGTATTCTGTTAGGTAGTGTATTTAAAAAAATAACAAAGTTAGGTTTAACATTTGTGTGATATAATTGTGAGTAATATTTAGGATATACAATTTATATGGGTCAGTTATTCAGTATTTATTTGGTTTTGAGTGAGTAAGTGAACTTTGAGAAGAGACTTGAATTTATAAACAGGTAGTGTTTCTTTTATATTTACAGGTAATGAATTCCAGATTTTAGGGCCTTTTATGTGCATTGAGTTTTTGCATAGCGTGAGATGGACATGAGGAACATCAAAGAGTGATCTGTGCCTTGTATTATGGTCATGTGTTCTGTTGAGGTTGGCAAGGAGATGTTTGAGGGGAGGGTTAATATCAGAGTTAAGTGTTCTATGTATGTAATAGGTGCAGTAATAAGTATGGATGTTTTGTATGGTGAGTAGGTTGAGTGTTTTGAATATTGGTGGAGTGTGCTGCCTGTAGTGAGAATTTGTTATTCTAACTGCAGCCTTTTGTTGGGTAATTAGTGGTCTGAGATGGTTAGTTGTTGTTGAGCCCCATGATGAAAGTATTTTCTTTTTGGGGATTTTCTTTCTTTTTTGGGTCGCCCGGCCTCGGTGGGAGACTGTCGACTTGTTGAAAAAAAAAAAAAATTAACTGCAGAATTTTAGTGTTTCTTGAATGTAGTAAATTAGAAAGCTGTTTGATGGACACCTCAGGTTTGCTGACAAAGATGTGAAGAGAAACACCACACAAGGACAAGCTTTATTGTACATAACATTTCATTTGTGGCAAACTTTATTATGTCTATAAACATTATAAACTTCCTGAGTGACATGATTTGCCTAATAAAGTTTAACCTTGTGTGGCATTTTTTGTTAAAGCCATGGTGATGGATTTTATGTACATGTATATGTTAATAATATTCTCAATGTAATTCTCTCATCTATACAGATTCACTTTTGGACAAGGGGCAGAAAGTTCTCGACTAACAGAACTTCCAGAAGAGGATGAATCTGCACTTCAAGATATTTCTAAAGACACAAATGACCAGTCTTCAGAAAAGTCATCTCTGATAAATGCTGGTACTAAGTCTCCCTCAGAGGGTCACCTCTCAAACCTTTCTCAACATAACTCTGAAAATGAAGACCCTCTAAGTGGGAGCATAAACAATGGTGAGGTGACCTATGTTAACCTTCCATATTATGAATCAACTTAGTTAAAGAGGCTGTTAATAAGCAATTTATTTGCTCAGATGTAAAAATCTGCAACAGACTGTTGGACGATGAAAATCATTGTTCAAACATTCCTCATGGTAATGTACCTAAAATTACAATTAAGTTTAATTTTAAGAATTACAAGGCTGACAAATATAGATGTATATAGTGTATACATAGATGTATATAGTGATTACTTGGTGTTCGTTCATGCATTATAATTAATAAAGTAATTCTGGGCTACAATTTGTAAATGATGAACATGCATTGCTTAGTCAATCTGGTTAAACACTGTGGGGTATGGCCAGCAAATTGATGAGTAACTTCTCAAGGTCTACTAGAGACCTTGAGAAGCCATACACAGGCTTTTTATCACCAAGTATGTCTACCCATACCCACATCTGACTCAGTTGTATATCAAAGATATCTGCTGTACTAAATTTAGGGTATATTTATACTTATACTATATCAGAGTTGTACTTATGCACAGTGTTGGTCATGATACTGAGATACATACAGCAAATTTGTAGATCTATTGATATGTATTTTGAGAATACAGTGACCCCTCGTTTTTCGTAAATAATCCATTCCTAATTGCGAAATTGACGATTTGCGAAACCATTTTCCCTATAAGAAATAATGTAAATCCAATTAATCCGTTCCAGACACCCAAAAGTGTTAAAACAAAATAATTTTTTACATGAAATATAGATGTACATACACAGAAAACAATGAGACATGAAGAATAAAACAATAACAACATGACACTTACCTTTATTGAAGATTCTTCTTAGTGTATGGAAGACGGGAGGAGGGGAGAGGATGGAGAAATTACTGTTTGGAAGGGGAATCCCTTTCCATGAAGACTTCAGGTACGCAGTCCTTTTCTGGGGTTACTTCCCTTCTTTGTTTTTTAATGCCACTAGGACCAGCTTGAGAGTCACTGCACACCTGTGGCACTAAATATCTGTCCAGAGAACTCTGTTTCTGGCATCACTTTAAAATTTTCCTAAAATGGGACAAGACATTGTCATTGTACATGTTGCCGACACAGCTTGCAACAGCTTTGTTAGGGTGATGTTCCTCCACAGATCTTTCCATCCTACTCCACATTGCACAAATCTCCATTATTACCACCCTCTACGACAATCACAACCACCATCACAACCACCATCACAACCACCCTCTACCACCATCACAACCACCCTCTACCACCATCACTACCACCCTCTACCACCATCACTACCACCTTCTACCACCATCACAACCACTACCACCCTCTACCACCATCACTACCACTCTCTACCACCATCACAACCCTGCCACCCTCTACCACCATCACAACCACTACCACCCTCTACCACATCACAACCACCACCACCCTCTACCACCATCACAACCACTACCCCACATCACAATCATTACCACCATCACTTACCACCATCACAATCATTACCACCATCACTACCACCATCACAGTCACTACCACCATCACAACCACTACCACCCTCTTCCACATCACAGCCCCTACCATCCTCTACCACCATCACCATCACCCTCTACCACCATCACAACCACTACCAGCCTCTACCACCATCACTACCACCCTCTACCACCATCACAACCACTACCACCCTCTGCCATCATCACAACCACTATCACTACCACCACCACTTTCATATTTTTCTACAATGTTTTTCTTTAATTCTTCCGTGTTTGTCACCTTCTTTACCAAAGGGCTGGCACTAGCTCTCTTTGGGCCCATGGTGGCTTATTTCGCAGTTGCAAGCACTAAAACGGATGGAATGTTATGAAATGTATCGTATGAATGCATGGGATCATGCTCACTCGCTGATAAAAAATGGGACACTGACTGTGACTGTGTCGGGGCCACTCGTACGCATCTGGGATGAACAACGATTCGCGAGTCAATATTTTGATGAAAAAACATTATGATTTTCGAAAATTGCAACTTCCGATGCTTACAAAAAACGAGGGTCCACTGTATTATAAACAATGAAAGGGGCAGATTATATATTTAGTGCATTACACTGTATTAATATGCACAGTATATTATAGATAAGCAAGACGTGCAGTGGTTGGGTATCTATGGTTGAAACATTTCTCATACATAGTTGGCCTCTTTAGTCACGTACAGATGTGACTAAATATGGAGACAGCAGCAGCAGTGACGAAACAAAAATTTCCTGATCAGTCTATCAACCTTGAAGGAGCAACCTTCAAGGTTACCACTTCAAGGTTGATGAACTGATCACATCAGTACCTCACCACTGCTTCTGTTACTTCCATATTTACTAGTCACCTCTGTACTTGACTGAAGAAGCCTACTGTGTAGGCAAAATGTTTCGTCAAAGATATTCAATTGTTGCACGACTTGGTAATGTGCTTGTCAATACTGTATACCATTTTCATAAGTATACAGTATATTGTACCGGACAGACATTTTTGATAGCATTCAATGTGGAAAATGTATATAAAGCAGGGCTAGCTAATACAAATGAACAAGATGTTATACAGGTGTCAAATCATAATTATACATGGTACTATATTATTGAACACTTTATATTATATATGAAGATGAGTCATGTTTTTTTACCCATGGAAGCAAAATAGTAGCAAAAGTATATTGCCTCACTGATGGTCTTGACTTCGTCAAAATGGACTGCTGTCCACCAGATGGTCTGGCTGTCCACCAGATGGTCTGGCTGTTTCTTTGAACGTGTATGTTTATTCATCTCTGGTGCCCTTCTAATTCTTTACATCTACATATCCTACTCTGCAAGGATTGTCAGGTCTTCTTGGGAGTCCAACAGCTCTTGATTAAGTACATTGTGCCCCGTGGCCTGGTGGCAAAAACTCTCGCTTCACACGGCAAGGGTTCGGGTTCGATACTCGGCAAAGGGGTGGAAAAGATGGATGTGTTTCCTTACACCGATTGTCTGTATTTACCCATCAGTAAAATGGGTACCTGGGTGTTAGTCAACTGGTGTGGGTCAATTCCTGGGACAAAATTGACCTAATTTACCAGAAATGCTCTGCATAACAAGCGGCTTTCTGTATAGTAGTACAGTGGACCCCCGGTTAACGATATTTTTTCATTCCAGAAGTATGTTCAGGTGCCAGTACTGACCGAATTTGTTCCCATAAGGAATATTGTGAAGTAGATTAGTCCATTTCAGACCCCCAAACATACACGTACAAATGCACTTACATAAATACACTTACATAATTGGTCGCATTGGGAGGTGATCGTTAAGCGGGGGTCCACTGTATGTCATTGATATCAGCTAGGACTGTATACCTTGTACACATACTTGTAATAAATAAAGATATTATTATATTATATTACAGTAATTCATTGCCATGACATACTTGATCTACTGTCCCTACTGACTCTCCCTCTTTCACTGCAGACACTAATTTCTTAACTGACAGATTTGCTACAGTAATTGTGACACCCTTTACTCTCCTCCCATTTCCCTTCTTTTGATGTCTATAGATCAACACCACCTCATCCTCTTCTCTCTCTTAGTTCTGTGCATGGCTAAATGTCCTTATGGGATTAATGATATTCACAAATATGATGATTTGTGTACATAATTGTACAAATGATAATTTTGTTACATATAATGTTTATTTCAGTCAGATGTTAAAAACTATAATTTTTCTGAAAGTTGAATCAGACTGGTACAGTTTTTGCAAATTATTGATGTATTTTCAGTTATTATTTATAAAAGTTTTGTCTAATGTTTTTCCCACTGAATAAACTTAGGCTGCATTTTAGTTTATCTTTTTATACAGCAAAGCTGATATGCAAAATTATTTGGAAATGCAGCACCTCATTTTGCTCTGTCCAAATGAACTTTGAAAAAAATGTACTGTAAAACTTTGTACAAAGTTCTTTAGGGTAAAATAAACTTCAGATTCAAGGTTTTTCACTGAAATATTCTTGTTCATTGTGTTTTGTGTTGTATATTAGTATATTATTAGTATTAATATATTATTTCATTTGCATCTCGCAAATAAAGTAAATTTAAAGTGCAATTATATTGTATATAATTGAAAAATTCTGAAATGCTTTTGTCTTCATTTTGTTTATGTATTTTTAGTGTACATGTACATAATATGTTAATGTATCAGATATTTGATGCTTTCCTAGGCCACTGCACTTACATCTTCATGAGTATTATATCTGCTAGAAAACTGTTTACTGTACCAGTATGTACAGTACTCAAGGGAGGTAAATATTTATATTTTACTTTGAAATACCATTTATAAGGATAATCTATGATTACCAGCAGCATTCTTATTACAAGCTACACTCTCATTACCAGTCATTATCCTCATTACCATTTTACCTAATCCAAAACACTGTTGTGACTTACATTAGTAGGGGTCATATAAGGGTCATACAGTGCCTGGGAAATGAGAGGCAGTCAGAGTCAGTCCAAGGAAAGGGCATATAAGCTCACTTCCTTGGACACAAACCTTTCTTACTGGTGTCAAGCCTCCTTGAGGGAGTGCCTCTCAATATTATTATTGTTATTACAATCAAAACTGGGTGTTTAAAACACAAGGGTTATACAGTGCGCCTCTCCATACATACAGTGGAACCTCGGTTGTTGAACAGACTAGCTGTCGACAAATTGGTTTTTGAACTGATTTGTTTGATTTGGTTTTTGCACGTGGTCTTGGTTGTTGACCAACAACGCTCGGATCACAATCACCAGAGTCCACAGCATGGGTCTTGGTGAGTATAGCAACTAATGCGCATGCTGTAAACATTTTTTTGAGCTCTTGCTGTGCACCTCTTCAAGGGGGGCTCCTTGGCATGGTGAAGAGGCTCTTGGTCTCAGGAATTAGACCTGTCGGTCTCCTTCCTCAGACCGAACCTAATTACCCCCCAATCCCCTCTTCCCTATCCCATCCTTCCCTTTTCCTTTCCTCCTCCTCCCCACCCCTCCCTTTTGCCCTTCCTCTTTTTGGCCTTTGGGATTTTTTCCACAGGCACACTAGTTCATAGGTAGGGGGAAGGGTACCAGGGTCCATCCCATTCCGTTGAGGTTCTTGGCGGTGGCGTAGTTTGCCGTGGGATCTGGATCGCCTGGGATGTCCCGATCCCTCTCCAGTATCTCGGAGGGTGGCTTTGGGTGTCTTTCAGGCAACGGGTGTATCTCTGGAAGCCACCTTTCGGATTCCGAAGGAGGTATGCTTTGTGGTGGATATCCGGCCGCCCTCTCTTCTCCACCGAGGTAGCTCGGTAGATGTGAGGTTGGTATCCCGGATTGCTGGTTTACTGGCATGAAGGGTAGGGTATGGCACGGGTTCCATGCTGCATCTTTGCTGCTTGTGGTGCTGAGGTCCTCTTGGGCACGGAGGGAGATTTCTGGCCCTTTCATTCCTCCTAGGAACTATCCCTCCCTGGTCCCCTCTTTTTTTATTCTTTTTTTATTTTTATTTTCTTTTCTTCTTTCTTTTTTTTTATTAAAAACAAAAAGAAAGAAGTAACCTAACCATGGAGTCCCAAATCCATGACCCCACTACCCCCGGGCCCCTTATTGTTACCGCACCCTGTTCTGACCTCGCCTCGTCTTTTGGCCACTCTTTGAACACTCCTAAGGCCCCTGTACCTCTTGCTGGTGCTGTTTCCTCACTCGCTTCAGGTACAGGGGCTTCCACTGACTCCTTCGATTTGTCTGACCTCCGCTTTCCTTTGACTATGCTTCCGGCCTCTCCCTCTATGGTGTGACAATTTTCGAATCGCCAGCCCGTCTCATGTAGGACCGACTCTGGTCCCACTTCTAAACGCCAACGACAATCTCCTGACGATGTTGCTTTGTTACCTTCCCATTCTACTTGGAAAAGACCGACACGTCATGCACTCCCTCTCCACACTCAGTTTCGGACCACACAATGGACTAAATTCTTTACTTTACGACCGACTTCTACTGCCTATCTTTCTGACCATAGTATTGGCAAAGTGCTCCTACGCCACGTTGGTAGAGATATTTCCTTTCATGCTCTTAAGAGTGGTACGCGCATCATCACAATCCAGAATTCTACCCAAGCTCATGATCTTTCTCTACTTTCACATGTCGATACTATTCCTATCACTATCGAAAAACATCATTCCCTCAATTCTTGTAGTGGTACTGTTATTCTGCCCCATACCATAGTCCAACAGAATTTCCAGACATGTGGCAATGACATTCTCAAACAGCTGGAACTCCAAGATCTCCCAATTCTCAAGGTAGACACTTATGTTCTTCCCACCAGCGGGCGAAGACGAAACCCTTGCAATGTGGCTCGTTTAACTTTTGACAGTCGTGAACTCCCATCCTCTGTTTATGTAGCAGGACATCGGTTACAAGTTCGGAAGGCGATCCCTACACCGCAACAGTGTAGGAATTGCTGGCGATTTGGCCACCCATCAAAATATTGCAGATCTATAGCCAAATGCCCAGTCTGTGGTGCCGATGACCATTCTAATACATCTTGCAGTCGACCTCCCTCTTGCCTTAATTGTCATGAGGCTCACCCTTCGTACTATTGCCGTTGCCAGGTCTGCTTAAATGAGCGGGAAATTCGTTGCCTCAAAGAGGCAGAAGGTCTCCCTTATGCTATGGCAGTTTCTCATCTCCGCCTCCAAGGGAGACTACCCCATGTTTCTTATTCTCATGTTTCAAAACGTCCCCCCACTTCTGGGGTCCCATCTTCTGCAGCCTCCTCTGTGGTTGCCAGTCCCATAGTCACTGCTGTATCTAATTCTTTTGCTGTCCTGGGCTCAGACGTCCATACTTCAACACCTCAGTCTGTCCTCACTTCTTCGTGTTCTTCCTCACAAACCTCGGTATTGACAAGACCTCGTACAACACCTCCTCCCAATCGTCCCTCTACTTCTCAGAGGTCCAACAAATCTCCTGTAACCCCTCCTTCCCTTCATCCACCTCCACATTTTACCTTCCCGGTCTCTGTACCTAGGTCTTTCCCTTTCACTGGCTCCATTACAAGTGTGGAGGTTCATCCTCCTCCTCGTACTGTGCCTTCCTCCCCTGTCCCCTTCCAAGTTTCTTCCTCTCCTGCCACCTCCCGGGTTTCTGCGTCTTCTGTCCCCTCCCACACTTCTCCAGTTCCCTCCACCCTTTTGCCCCCCCCCCTACCTTGGTACAGTCCATTACAGCTCCGATCTTTACTCAAACTCCTCCTCCTTCCATCTCCAATATTGTCTCCCATACGACGTCTCTGAACTCTGAAACACTTGAAGTAATCTCTGAATATATTGCAGAGACCAAACCATCAATGGACATTGATCCACCCTCTGTTCCTTCTCTTTCCACTTCTCCATCTGCGCAACTCCTTTCTTCACAACGCACCGTTCCTTCGCTACTTGAATGTTTTCCTTTGCCACCGCATGTGGACTTTTCTAACCCTTCTAGTCCGTAGGTACCCTTACCTGTGGATTTCAGGTATCTTTATCATTGCCCCAATCATGGCCTATTTACAGTGGAATATTCGCGGCCTCAGGGATAATCGGGGTGAGCTTCAGATGTTGCTCTCCCAGTTTTTCCCTGTTGGTGTTTGCTTACAGGAACCAAAATTACACTCTGCCGTTATCTATCCCATCTCAGGCTATAATTTATTGTATTTTTCAGATCTTTTTCCTGATGGGACCTTTAATGAAAGTGCCCTTCTTCTACGCACTGATATTCCGTACCATCAGCTATTTGTTCGTACTTCGCTGCATTACACAGCAGCCCGTATCCTCTTGCATAGGTGGTATACACTCTGTTCTTTGTATCTCTCTCCTTCTCGGGCATTATCTATCCCGGATATTGCCTTTCTTGTTTCGTTATTACCGCCATACTTGGCGATTTTAATGCCCATCATTTCCTCTGGGGGGGGGTCTCACTGTGATTCCCGTGGCATTCAGTTAGAAGCTTTTCTTGCTACCCACCCCCTCCATGTTTTGAATACGGGTACTCACACCCATTTTGATCCTCGGGCTCATACTCTCTTGCATCGATCTCTCAGTCTGCTCTTCCTCTGCCGCATTAGACTTCACCTGGTCTGTTCTCCCGGATTTACATGACAGCAATCATTTCCCAATCATTCTTACTTCCCCTTCATATTCACCACCTCTTCGTATGCCACGCTGGCAATTTGATCAGGCAAATTGGAACCTTTACTCACAACTAACTGTTTTTAGTGAGGTTCCTTCTTCGTCCTCCATTGATGAGCTTTTACACCTCTTCTCATCCTCTGTTTTAACCGCAGCTTCTCATTCTATACCCCAAACTTCGGGCAGGCAGTCTCAGAAATGCGTGCCTTGGTGGTCTCCTGCTTGTGCTCGTGCAGTACGTTTGAAACGCGCTGCGTGGGGCAGATACCGGTACAATAGAACCACGGAGAGACTTCTTGATTTTAAGCAGAAGCGTGCAATCACTCGCCGTGTCATTCGTGACGCTAAACACATTTCTTCTCGAGATTATGTCTCCACCATCACCTCTGCTTCCTCTATGAGTGCAGTCTGGAAAAAGTACGAAAACTGAGTGGCAAATATTCTCCTGACCCGGCTCCTGTTCTGCGGGTTGCCGGTGTTGATATAGCAAACCCACTAGATGTTGCCAATGAAATTGGCAATCATCTGGTTTGTATTTCTCAGGGGCTCCATCTATGCCCCTCGTTTCTTTCCTCAAAGTCTGCCAGAGAGTTAGCACCCTTGGACTTTTCTTCTCTCAGAGAAGAACAGTATAATGTGCCTTTTACACTTCAGGAACTGGAGGCAACACTCTCAGCCTGTTGATCATCGGCAGCTGGGCCCGACGACATTCATATTTGTATGCTACAACATTTACATCAGTCAGCCCTTACAGTCCTATTACGCCTTTTCAATCTTATTTGGTCACAAGGAGTTCTTCCACAGCTGTGGAAATCTGCCATTGTTCTCTCTTTCCCCAAACCGGGTACTACGGGACATGAAGCCTCCCACTATCGTCCCATTGCTCTTACCAGTGCAGTTTGTAAAGTGATGGAACGTCTGGTAAATCGACGTTTAATGTGGTATTTAGAGACACACAACAGTCTCTCCACTAGTCAATATGGCTTTTGTAAGGGCCGTTCTACCATAGACCCCTTACTACGCTTGGATACGTATGTTCATAATGCCTTTGTGAATAACCACTCAGTTATTGCCATATTTTTTGACCTTGAGAAGGCATATGACACAACTTGGAGGTATAATATTTTGGCCCAAGCCCACTCCTTAGGCCTTCGAGGCAATCTACCATCCTTTCTTAAGAACTTTTTAGCTGACAAACATTTCCGTGCTCGGGTTAATAATGTGCTCTCCCCGGACTTTATCCAAGCTGAAGGTGTTCCCCAGGGATGTGTTCTGAGCACAACACTTTTTCTCCTTGGTATTAATGATTTGGCCTCTAGTCTTCCATCCAATATTTGGTCATCACTCTATGTTGATGACTTCGCTATTGCCTGTGCAGGCTCTGACTGTCACCTCATTACAGTTTCTCTCCAGCATGTGGTCGACCATGTTTCCAATTGGGCCACCACACATGGGTTTAAATTTTCCAGTACCAAAACTCACCAAATTACTTTCACTAGAAGCTCTGTTATCTCCGATCATCCTTTATACCTTTATCGCACCCGTATCCCTGAACATGATACAGTCAGGTTTCTAGGCCTCCTCTTTGACCGCAGGTTATCCTGGAAACCTCACATTACCTCTCTGAAGACAACTTGTCACAGCCGGCTGAACCTTCTTAAAACCCTTGCTCATCTTTCATGGGGAGCTGATCGTCAAACTCTCCTTTGCCTACATTCCACCCTCATTTTATCGAAACTTGACTATGGTGACTAGATCTATTCAACTGCCTCTCCTGCTACTCTGTCTAGGCTCAACCCTATTCATCACCAAGGATTATGTTTATGCCTTGGTGCTTTTCGCTCTTCCCTTGCTGAGAGCCTCTATGCAAAAGCGAACGTTCCATCCTTATCCGATCGCCGTGATGCCCATTGCCTTCGCTACTATGTACGCTCTCATGATCTCCGCAATCCTTCCATTTATAGAATGGTCACCGATATTAGTAGACATTCTTTATTTGTTCGCCGCCCCTGTTTGCTCCGTCCCTTCTCTCTTCGCCTACATTCGCTCTTGTCTTCTCTTCAATTTCCACCTTTCTATGTTCATGTAGCATCTCACTTTTCCCTACCTCCCTGGGAAGTTCCAGCTGTTCGAGTCTGTTCTTTCTCACTCCCTTGCTCGAAAGCCCAATTGTCTACGGTAGCTTCCCGCTCTCTTTTTCTTGACCACTTTCACTCTCATTCTCATGCCATTGCAGTGTACACAGATGGCTCCAAGTCTTCTGACGGCGTAGGATTTGCAGCAGTGTTTCCAGACAGCGTCGTACAAGGGCATTTACTATCTTCAGCTAGTATCTTTACTGCTGAATTGTATGCCATTCTTGCAGCACTTATCCGTATTGCATCAATGCCTGTGTCATCATTTGTGGTTGTCTCAGACTTCCTTAGTGCTTTACAGGCTATACAGAAATTTGATACACCTCACCCCTTAGTCCTCCGTATCCAACTTTGGCTACGCCGCATCTCTACCAACCATAAAGATATTGTTTTTTGTTGGGTCCCTGGTCTTGTTGACGTACAGGGCAATGAACAGGCAGACACTGCTGTGCGGTCAGCAGTACATGACCTATCAGTTTCATATAGAGGTGTTGCATTTATGGACTATTTTGCTGCAATAGCTACCCACCTTCACACCCGTTGGCAACAACGTTGGTCTACTCTACTCGGTAACAAACATCAATCTATTAAACCAAGTATAGGTTACTGGCCGTCTTCTTGTCACCAGTGCCGAGGTTGGGAGACTACTCTCTCCCGTCTCCGCATTGGCCATACTCATCTTACTCATGGATATCTCATGGAGAGGTGCCCTGCTCCTCTCTGTGGGAATTGTCAGGTTCCATTATCGGTCAGCCACATTCCGTTAGACTGCCCACTTTATCAACGAGCACGCAGAATTTACCTCCAACGTCGTCTTCGCTCCGCTGCTCTCTCTTTACCTTCCCTTCTCGCTGATGGACCCACCTTTCATCTGTACTCTCTCATTGACTTTTTGACAACAACTGACTTACTTCACAAACTCTGATGATACCTTCAGCCCTTTCTACCTCAATCTCTTCCTATCCTCTACCCTGCACTATCCCCTGCCCCGCTGTTTTCTGTAACCTACTGATCGCCCCTCCCCCCTTCTGCCGCCCAATACCCTCGCTTCCTTTCTTACCCTGCAGCGCTGTATAGCCCTTGTGACTTAGCGCTTCTTTTTGATTATAATAATAATAATCTTGCTGTGCATCTTGTGAAGGCAATGAAACTGAAAGTACGAAATTTGATGGGAAACTTATGGAATTATGGTACTGTATCACGAAGTTTGCTGCCTCTGCGGTATTTATGCATCAGCGATTTTGCCGACTTTGTGCCCTATTTTGGGCAAATTCCATTATTCCAATCGACCAAAGTCATAGCTATTTCACTAGAACTCCTCTTAGTCTATCAGTTGAGTACAAGAAACTGAGCATTTACCTATTTCAACTACCTAATTAAGTGATCTGAATTTACTAATTTGGCCAGTTTCACACAAAATTCAAGAAAAGCCAGTTTCAAAATAGTGTCAACCATAAATGATGCAGACATTCCTGGCACTAAAATAACATTTTATCTGTTCATTAATCACATCTCAAGGCCCCTCTTATATTACTCTTGCTTTTCATTTTGATTTTTATTCACACAAAAAAATAGAACAGTTACTGTTATTCAGACTACTGCATAATTGTGTAAATAATAGCACATTCGTGAATGCACATTAGACCCAATAGTTGATGTATATTGGACTTGTGATATTTGTTTACTCTTGAACATTGGCAAAAACTGAATATTTCTGCTAATTTGAGCTCAACTTCAAGCTACTTTTAGTCTTTAAACCATTGAAACTCATCTCTATTTGTGTAATATATCTTCATTCTATCAAATGAGACCAAGAAAATGAGAATACAACAATAAATACCATACAAAAATACACCACAAAGTCGCTGTATTAAACCAAAAATATGGTCGCAGTTTTTTTCCTCATTATGCACTGTGTGCTGCAGGATTTTTTTTATACTGTGCACACTGACACTGCAGACCCATTGTCTCACATGTAGGCCTACCTGCTCTCTCCCGCAAGATTTGAAGCCGCTAAAATTTGCCAATAGCTCTCCTCAGACGGTTAAGAGGCAGTTAAATTTTCATTTACTGTAGTATTTCAGTTAAATTTTCATTTACGGTAGTATTCATTTTTACAGTTTCTCTCTGCTGTATAATTTTGTACATTGTTTTGCATACATGTACTAGTTAGAACATTATTATTAATAAATTTATACATTGTCATTATTGGTCTAGAATGGATTAATTCTATTTACATTATTATTTATGGGAAAAATTGGTTTAGTTGTCAAACCGACATCTGGAACGAATAAAGTATGACAACCAAGGTTCCGCTGTACAATAATTCTGGCTAAAACATGTATCCTCAGAATCATTGTACAATCTTGTACTGATTTTCCTGAATAAAGCTTATCTTTTTTTGGTGATTTATATGGGAAATTTTTGTCCTTTACGTGTAGGTGTATATACATTTTATCTATTAAAGGGGTGAAACCATTTAAAAAATAAAATTATTTTGAATACAGAAATTTCTTTACAAAAAATCTTCTAGTGCCAGCCCTATAGTAAAGATTGTGAGAAACATATAATTTAAGAAAAAGTTTGTAGAAAAATATGAAAGTGGTTGTGGTAGTGCTGGTGGTAGAGGGTGATAGTGATGGTGGTAGAGGGTGGTAGTGGTGGTGGTAATGATGGTGATAGAGGGTGGTAGTGGTGGTGGTAGAGGCTGGTAGTGGTGGTGGCAGAGGCTGGTAGTGGCTGTGATGGTGGTATGGTATGATAAGGCATGGTGAGGCTGCCAGTTCTGACAAAAAAGTGGCTGAAAAATATGTACAGGACTTTAAGGGGTACATAGAGGCAGAAAAATTAAAACCCCAACAAGTGTTCAATTGTGACGAAACAGACCTGTTTAGGAAGAAAATACCAAACAGGACCTACATTACTCAGGAGGAAAAGGCACTCCCAGGACACAAGCCAGAAAAGGACTTGTTACCTGAAGTCTTCATGGAAGGGGCTTTCCCTTCCAAACAATAGAACACTTTCATCCTCTGCCTTCCTCCCATCTCATCACTCATCAACAAGTCCACAATAAAGGTAAGTGTGATGTTATTATTGCTTTATTCTTCATATATTATCGTTTTCTGTGTTGGGAAATGTATATTTCATGTTAAAAATTATTTTGTTTAATACTTTTGGGTATCTGGAATGGATTAATTGGATTTCCATTATTTCTAATGGGGAAAATTAATTCGGATGAAGCCTAAATCGGTTGAAGGGCAGCTCTCTGGAACGGATTAAAGGCATTAGCCGAGGGTCCACTGTATAGTCCTGTTTGTACTTTGTAATCATATAATAGACTATATAGAAACAAAGGATTTTTTTTCTTATGTTGCTGCAGCACTGTTTTTGGTATTAGTGTCATTTTCTTAAGAGGCTCTATGGTGTCACCCCTTTGATGGTGTCACCCAGGTGGTGTTACCCGCCCCCTCCCCCTTATGGCGCCACTGCCTCACTCAACACTATTGTTAACAAAGAATTCACAAAAATAACAACCAGCAATTGACACCAGTTGCCATGGACAACCATTCATTTCCAACTCCTCTCCTGGACAAAATGCCACATATCACAGGGTTCTTACCTGGAGTCTACCTCCCTGGAGGTTATTCAGGGGATCAACACCCCCACGGCCCGGTCCATGACAAGGCCTCCACGTGGATCAAGTCCTGATCAACCAGGCTGTTACTGCTGGCCACACATAGTCCAACGTACGAACCCCAGCCCAGCTGATCCGGCACTGACTTTAGGTATCTGTCCAGCTCCCCCATGAAGGCAGCCAGTCTTGGGCCCTGGGCACTTATGGTGTTTTCTCATAGTGTACCAATGGCGCCCCTACTTTTAATTGGGGGTATTTTGCATCGCCTGCCCAGTCTTTTACTTTCGTTGGGAGTGATTTCTGTGTGCAGATTCGGGACCATTCCTTCTAGGATTTTCCAAGTGTAGATTATGATATCTTTCTCTCTCCTGCATTCCAGCGAGTACAAGTCAAGTGCTTCCAAGCGTTCCCAGTAGTTCAGGTGCTTGATATAACTTATATGTGCAGTAAAAGTTCTCTGTACACTCTCTAGATCTGCAATTTCACCTGCTTTGAATGGAGATGTTAATGTACAGCAGTATTTCAGCCTAGAGAGAACAAGTGATGTAACAAGGATCATCATTGGCTTGGCATCTCTCGTTTTGAATGCTCTCATTATCCATCCTATCATTTTCTCTGCATTTGTGATCGTGGCACTGTTGTGATCCTTGAAAGTGAGATCCTCAGACATTACTACTCCCAGGTCCCTTACATTATTTTTTCGCTCTATTGTATGGCCAGAGTTTGTAGTATACTCTGTTCTAGTTATTATCTCCTCCAGTTTTCCATAATGGAGTAGTTGGAATTTGTCCTCATTGAACATCATATTGTTTTCCATTGCCCATTGGAAAACTTGGTTTATATCTTCTTGGAGGTTAACCGTGTCCTCGATAGATGACAGTCTCATGCAGATCCTAGTATCGTCTGCAAAGGATGATACGGTGCTGTGGATTACATCTCTGTCTATGTCTGATATGAGGATGAGGAACAGGATGGGGGCGAGTACTGTACCTTGTGGAACAGAGCTCTTCACTATGGCAGCCTCCGATTTAACTCTGTTGACCGCTACTCTTTGCGTTCGATTGGTTAGGAAGTTGAAGATCCATCTCCCCACTTTAACAGTTATTCCTTTAGCATGTATTTTGTGCACCATTACGCCATGATCTCAATTGTCAAATGCTTTTACAAAGTCTGTGTATATTACATCTGCATTCTGTTTTTCTTCCAGTGCATCCAAGGCCATATCATCGTGATCCAGTAGTTGTGAGAGGCAGGAGTGACCTGCCCTTAACCCATGTTGCCCTGGATTGTGCAGTTTTTGGGAATCCAGGTGGTTTGCAATCGTGCTTCTTAGCACTCTTTCGAAGATTTTTATGATGTGGGACATTAAAGCTATTGGTCTATAGTTCTTAGCTAATGCTTTGCTGCCACCTTTATGGAGTGGGGCTATATCCGTTGTTTTAAGTGACTGTGGAATTTCACCCATGTCTAAGCTTCTTCTCCGTAGTATACTTAGGGCACATGAGAGGGGTTTCTTGCAGTTCTTAATGAACACAGAGTTCCACGAGTCTGGGCCTGGGGCTGAGTGCATAGGCATGTTGTCAATGGCTTTTTCAAAGTCTTTCGGAGTTAGGGTAATGTCGGAAATCTGGCATACATTGATGGAGTTTGGAGGCTCATTCATGAAGAAATCATTTGGATTGTCGATCCTCAGACTGATTAGTGGCTTACTTAACACAGAGTCATACTGGGATTTCAGTATTTCACTCATTTCCTTGTTGTCATCTGTGTAAGTCCCATCCTGTCTGAGTAAGGGCCTGTTACTAGATGTGGTATTTGCCTTGTTTTTGGCATGTGAAAAGAAATATTTCGAATTTTTTTCAATTTCACTAATAACTTTAAGCTCCTGTCTCTCCTGGTTCCTGTAAGAGTCCTTTAACTTAAGTTCAATAGTTTCTATTTCCCTGGTCAGAGCTTCCTTCCGTGTATCAGACATTCTAGCATTCCTGAGGAGCTCAGTGATTCTTCATCGTCTTCTGTAGAGGGAGCATCTTTTTCTCTCCAGTTTACTTCTGCTCTTCTTCTTTCTTAGGGGAATATGCCTAGAACATGCTTCAGCTGCCAGGAAGTTGATCCTTTCAAGGCACTGGTTTGGATCCATGTTATTAAAGATATCTTCCCAACAAGTTTCATTTAAGACATGGTTTACCTGGTCCTAGTTGATGTTCTTGTTGTTGAAGTTGTATTTTGTGAAGATATCTTCACAGATACATGCATTTTGCTGATCAGGACCCCTGTGCATGTAAGTCTGAACTTCGCTTAGATTGTGATCAGAATTAGTTGTTTTTTATATTGTTATGTCTCTTACCAGGTCCTTAGTTGTTTTTTATATTGTTATGTCTCTTACCAGGTCCTCGTTATTTGTGAAGATAGAGTCAAGTGTGTTTTCTAGTCTTGTTGGCTCCACTATCTGCTGGCTTAAGGTGTGTTTATCGCAGAGACTTAGTAGCTCGTGTGTGTGACCTTTCATCTGCGCTACCTCCAGGGATTGTTTCAGCTATAACATTCGCTACATTCTTCCATTTTGTATGCCTTAGGTTGAAATCACCAAGCAGTAAGATGTTTGGGGATGGAACTAGAAGGCTTTCCAGACAGTAATCAATTTTCAGTAGCTGTTCCTTGAACTGTTGGGAGGTTGCATCTGGTGGTTTATGTACAACCATGATGACTAGGCTTTGGTTCTTGATCTTTATTAATAGAACTTCAACTACATCATTTGTGGTGTTCAGCAACTCCGTGCAGATGAGGGACTCTTTGACATACAGGCCAACCCCCCCTTGTTGCCTGTTCTTTCTGTTGCATCTAAAAAGGTTGTACCCATTTATCCATATTTCACTGTCAAAGTGATTTTTTGTGTGGGTCTCTGTGAAGGCTGCAAACATTGCATTAGACTTCTCTAGAAGTCCACTGATAAAAGGTATTTTGTTGTTCATGGATGGCTTAATTAAGGCCCTGTATATTAGCAAATATAAACGAGGTTGTATTCTGTGTTTGTTGGGGGGATTTTGTTATTGGCATCAGTAGTTGTAGTTCTGGAGGGCCATGGGTGGCCACTGGCTGTGCCTCCAGTCCAACAAGACTCCAAGGTGGTTGACTATTTTTGTTATTTCCTTCTATTTTCTTTTTCCATTTCCTGCCACTAAAAAATCACCTGAAGTTGGATTGTCATAGCTACTATTGTTTGTCTTGTGAGGTCTGTGCCTCCTGGTCCCTTTTAGATGGTATGCAGGGCAGCTGATGTTGTAACACTGCTTTTGGAGGACCGAAGAGTGACATTTTTGGGTGAAAGAAAGTACAGGAAGAAGAACTACACACTCGTTTAGACAGGTCACTACATTTTTTTAGGATGCTCAAAGTTGCATGTCCCAATTTTTTTTCCTGATATTCCATGCTTACAAATGCCCCTAACATAGTATTTGCACAATTTCACTTTTGGTTGGATAGAATTGTTGGGAGGTGTGTTGTCAATTTCTGCAGGTTCTGGGACTGCACTATAATCCTCAGTATTCAGTATTCAAGCCAGGGCCACCTCGTCCTGGATTCCATCTACTTTCCTCAGTAGAAGTAGAAGAAGGAGACTCCTCCCTTACATCTGTACTGTGGGCAATGGTCTTGTGAAATGATGGTTGTATATTTAAGGTTTTAGTGGTGACTGTGGTAGGGTCCCTAGTAGAGTCTGGACTGGCAATAAGGCTGGGGGCTGAGACTGAGTCAGCACTGGGGCTGGGGGCTGAGCCTG